TCAAACCACTTATATTTTAGTCAGCAGCCCACCTGGGCACTATATCTTGACTATTTTTCAACTCATCATAGTTTATTTACATTTTGCCCATAAACTACACTTTCACTATTTTAAGTTCAAGCTCTCAACTTTTTCACTTTCAGCAAATGACCTTGCTTCCTACTTTTTCAGGGGGAAAAAAGGTATTAGACGTCAATATTATCAGCTATCCAAACTTCTAAATCCAGAGTAGTTAGTTGTGTCAGTAAATCTCTCCTTCTTTACTGCTCTGGGGAACATCACTACTCCTCCTTCAAATTCTTACCACTATTTGTTTTGTTTTTCCTCTCTCCACTAGCTCCACTAGTATCCCTTCCTGACAGTCTTCTCTCCAGTTGACCATTTGGTCTTTCCATAACAAAAATAAAAAGGAGGGTCTCCTCTTCAACTAAACAAACACTCAATAAGCTTTCACTTTCTCTCTTTGTAGTCTCCGTGAAATGTCTTGAATAATGAAAAAATAATGATTTCTTATGCACACAGTCCTGTATACTTGCTTTATATTAAATTTGTCATTTATCTTAAATCACATGATATTCTTAAGTAATGGTTATCTCTGTTTCACAGGTGAAGGAAGTAGAAATCAATTAGTAACCATGATTTTGCTGAAGTTGTAGAGCTGGTAGAGTTATGATCATGTTCCACTGACCCGTGGTCTCACACTGTGGTTTCCAGACTGTCATTAGAATACTTATCAGAAATTCAAATCCTCAGACCCACCTCGAGACCAACTGGATCAGAAAATCTGGAGGTGCAGCCCACAATCTGTGTTTTATTTAGCAAACTCTCTTGGAGGTTCTGATGCATGTTATAGTTTGAGAATTACCCAACTGGACCACATCACCCTTTTTTAAATCATTCTCGACTTCTTAGCTACACTAACAACATTAGACATCACTTCCTTTTCAAGCCTTTTTTTCTAATATCTTCAAACTGACCTGTTCTTGTTCTTCTTAAACTCTCTGATCACCTAGTCATAATATGCTTTCTAGTCTTCTTCTTGATCTAGTTATTAAATACGTCATTAAAACATTTGCATCTCTGAAGACTCCTATACATGCATTTTCAGTGCTGGCTTCTTACATTCTGGAGTTGTGTTTCCAGTGACATAATCTATACTCTGTAGTCCAACTCATTGTCTGTACTGAATATTCACTAGAAATTTACTTCTTCTGTGATCTCAATTTTGACTAGAGATGTTGGATATCATCGAGCTGGAGCCGACCTGTGAGTTTTCAGAAGCTAAGAATTGCATGGAAGGAGACTGCCCATCTTTCCCTTGTAGAGCAAGACCATGTACCTTTTTGTAGGCAGTTCAATCCCTTTCCACTAAGCCACCAGAGCTCTCTACAGAGGGCACTAACTAGAAGTGTCAGTGTCCTGCAACTTACCGAAGCAGACATTGCTAAGTGACTTTATTCTCTCCCACCAGATATAACTCAATAATCAAGAGTCAACAGCAGTCCCTGGGTGGTGTGAACTGTTAATGTATGCAGCTGTGTGAAGATGGTATGGCCTAGGACAGTGGTCAGATCGGTTGATCACAGTGTCACTATGAGCTTTACTCAACAACAATAGGAACATTGGAGATTTGAGTTTACCCAGAGGCACGCAGGAGGAAAGGCGTTATTTTTTGTAAAACCAGCCATTGAAAATCCTGTTAGAGCACAATTCTATTGTGACACATGGGATTGACATAAATTAGAGTGGCAACTGGAAATTTAAAAAACAAAAAGAAAGGAAAAGGTTCATTAATATTTATGTTTACAACATCCTGCAACCCGGCCATCTACTCTCTAATCCTAGATACAGTGCTTAAACATTTATAGTCTGGAACTGACCAACAGCCTATTGGCTGATCTTCCCACATAGAACTATAGGAACACACCTTCCAAAGGTTTCCAGGTATCCTCCTGAAGAATAGATACAAACCTATTACTTACATGGTGATACAATTAAAGACAAAAGCAATTTCAATAGCTTCCTGCTGGTGTCATGCATAATGAATCGGGCTGCTAAGAGGTCAGTGATTCAAATCCACCAATTCTTGTACAGCCTTGGAACTGACTTGATGGCAGTGGGTATGTATTGCCAAGATGCTGAAGTTTGGTATCTAAAACATGGTAACATCCATGCTGGATTGCCCAATAAGCAGGGTAAGCATAGACTTACTTGTGCTTACTTATTATTCAATTTCACTCCCCTCCATGACCCCACAGCAAAGATTTTAGTTCTATTTATGGCTGGCATGTGTCTCTATCTCAACTCCATAACAGTATCCTATAGAATCAAAGGCTTTTTCCAAATTTACAATTCCCATCAATGATGAAGTATCCAGTAAACAAGGTAAGCACAGGCTTATTCATGGTTATGAATTCATGGTATGAATTTCACCACATTATGTGAAGCTGTTCACTACAGATTAGTGTTGAATTGTTTGCTACAGATTAGGAAGTAAGCATGCGTAAGCCTTTGCTTACTTTGCTTATCTCTGCCCCTGGGTAACATGAGTTTTGTCTCATACCTCACTACTTCCTTTCTAACTGCAAAATCTTTCTTCCTCTTTTCCAACTTGATGCTTAATCCAGACAAGTTTAACTACTATCTCTTCCCCTCCCCCAAGCCTATGTTAATTAACAGTTTTCTCTGCCTAAAACATCTACCTCTAACCACATAGTCTCTTTTTTATTTAATAAACACCAAAGAGTAGCCTCAGAAATCATAACTATAAAAGAGACTGGATAGTTTAAATGAATAAATATATCAGGTAACAGAGGCCACAATACCCCATCTATAGAAGCCACCATCTGCAAGGTTTAAAAATTATTGCAATGCAAATATTTTTTTACTTTTTATTTTATTATTTGTGTGTACCGTCAAATCAGATCTGACTAGTACAGGAAGAGATTGTCCCTCCTTCCCCGGCAGAGCATCTGGTGGATTCGAACAGTGTGCCTCTGGGATTGTAGTGCAGCTTCTTGCCACTAGGCCACCAGAGCTCCCCTCAAATATTTATTTTTACAGGAAAAACTCAGAAATTATGGTTTTTATCAGTTTTACAAATGGGCAGCTAATATTTTGAAACTCTAGAACACTATCCTGTGTACTATTGTGTCTCAACCAATTGAAGTACGCTGTCAGATTGGAGTTGGATCTGATTTCTATGAAGCCCTAGGATTGAAGGGAGCTCTGTTGACTTCATGGAAAGGAACTGTGCTCCCAATGCAAAGGTACATGGTTCAAAGCCACCAGCTTCTCCACAGAAGAACAATAGGCAATCTCCTCCCGTGTGATTAAATACCTCTGCAGACCCACTGGACAGTCTGCTAAGAGTCGGTGCTGACTCAATGGTACACGACAACAGCAACAGTAACCTACGACTGAAGAGTGACTTAGACAGGGCCTGGGAACTGAATGGCTCCCCACTGGCAGGATTGAAAGCAGCCCCTTCATTCAGTTTAATGTTTGGTTTACATGGCATGCACCCCAGTATATTCTTAGAGCTGATTGTTACTTCCTTCAATAGATTCCGGAGGAATAAAATGTATCTCTCTCTCTATATATATATATCAATTTAATCTTAAAATTTTAAATAGTTCTGTTCCCCCCCCTCCTAGATTAATATTATGCTTTCATTATGTACATTTTGATCTCACTGAAGAATCTATCTCTATCTAAAATGCAAACCTACAAAATCTTGTAGTCATAGGTCATGTCCTACTGCATTCCTAAATATATGTATCTGTTGCGGTCAGATCAATTCTGACCCATTAAGACCCTGCAGGATAGAGTAGAACTGTGTCATATTCTTCTAAGGCAGTAAATATTTATGTTAGTAGACTGTCACATCTATCTTCCAGGGAGCCACTGGTGGGTTTGAACCACTGACTTTTGGGTTAGCAGCTGAGCACTTAACAACTGCACCATCACAGCTCCTAGATGTACACAATTATATGTGCTCCTCCCTCCCTTATTTTTAAATTCATGTGCTCCTTGTTAGATGGTTGTAAAAAGAAGAACTCCTTAGACAGTTTGATAAATTAAAACATTATCTTAGTCTAGGGCAGACCTTTTCACTTTGGAAAATAAGGAAAATGTGTTCATCTGTTCCACTTGTTAATTTCAGGGTGCAACTTTTTTCCATTTAACAAAAGCACTAAAAAAAGTCAGCTTTAATTTCTGCTACAGTTATATAATTTCTAGTTATGCTATCCAAGCACTCTCACAGAACTAATTTAAGCTTGGTTCTGCCAGATTTGGGGATGTCAGCCATTTTTCAGTAAACCTAAAGTCTCTCATTTCACTAAGTACCACACTTGCTCAGGACAGCTAGAACACCACTCTCTACTCACTGGTCAATTTATCTAATTTCTAGACACAATCATGGCCTAAATATGTGCATAAATCTTACACTGCTGTCATCTCCAAAGTTTACAAACATCAAATCTGCAGAAAAAGAAGTAGATTATTCTCATTAACTTGTCAGAATGAAGACGAGTCAGTATTTGTCTTACTTGACTATATAATAAGTCAGAATCCAAGCCATACTTAAGAGGTAAAGATTTCATTTCTAATCATTTTATTCTAAAACTTTGTGGTTAGGCCCCAATCATTTCTTGTAGAACTCTGCAATATTGCTGTGTGGGCCTGTTGTTAGGAGGGACAATCCTTGGAAAAGGACATCATGCTTGGAAATGGGGAAGGTCAGCAATGGAGAGGAAGATCCTTGATGAGACGGATTTTAATGGTGCACTCAGGTATAGCCAGAGAGGGTCACGATGGCACAGGATAGGGCAGGGTTCAGATCCATTGTTCACAGAGTGGCAAGGAGTTGTAGTTGACTCAAAGGAACTTAACAACATTAGTGTGTACTTTATCATTCACAATGAAAAAAAAACCACACATCTTATTTGGATTCATTAGAATTGCTGTGTATCATTATTAACAGAACTAAACCTTACCTGCAGACTGTTGAAAATGACAAAGAGAACCAACATCCAGAAGTGTCTGTAAGCCATGTGAAGTCCTCCCCAAAGCCATGTTACAGAAATCAAGGCAAAGAGATACAAAACCAGTGGAATTTCTGGAAATCATAAAAAGAAGAATACTTTTTGAGCTTCAGAACACTGACAGTAACACATATTCACAAAATTATTACTAGCTCCTTCCTCGTGACGCTCTATATGTTCAAGTACCCAGTTTGAAAGAACAACCTTGGAAATCCCATCCTAGCGCCAAAGAAGAGAAAGCACATTGCTGATGCCACATTTTTTCACTTTGCAAATGGGTTTGCTGGTAGGTGAGGGGGTGGGAAAAGAGGACTGTTCCTCTCCTAGACTACCACCTACTGGACTGTTCAGGAAGTACAAACAACTGTGGCGATCAAAGAGTATTTCAACCCCAGTCTAAGAGTGAGGTGTAAATCTTGTGTGCTACCTTAGAATACTGTAGACAGAATGGTGCTCTTAATATTAGTATATTCCATCCTATATTTGCTATTTTAAACTAAGCTTAGATTTTTTATTGTTATTGAGAATAAACACAGCAGAAAATATGCAAAGCTAACAATTTCCACGTTGATATTTCAGTGACAATGGATCTAGTTTTCAAATTGTGCAAACACGTTATCCTCCTTTTTTTATTGTTCCACCTCCATTAACCAAAAAAGCATTCACTGGCAGAGTTATTCATGTTTAAGTTATTGTTATCAATTTGAGTCTTCATAAATCCACTGCCATAGAGTCGATTCCAACTCAATAGTCATCATAGAGGACAAAGAAGAACTACCCCACAGAGTTTCCAAGCCTATAAATCTTAACTACAAAGGCATACTGGCACATTTTTCTCCTGTGGAATGGTGAGAGGGCTAGAGATGATAGGAGAGTTGATGTCTTTGAGCTGTGGTGCTGGAGAAGAGTATTAAACGTACCATGGACTGCTAGGAGAATAAACAAGTTCAACATGGAGAGGGTGAAACCAGGTTGCTCCTTGGAGTCAAGGATTCTGGGGCTTCGTCTGACATACTTTGGACATGTTGCAAGCTGGGATCAGTCCTTGGAGAGGGATGTCCTGCTTGAGAGGGTGGAGGAGCAGCACGGAAGAGGAAGGCCCTCTATGAGGTGGGTTGATTTAGTGACTGGGGTAATCAGGATGGGTGTATCAGAGACAGTGCGATTGGCACAGGACAGAGCAGAGTTTAGGGCTGTTGCACACAGAGTCCCTATGAGTTGCAGGCGACTCAACAGCACATAACAACAACAACAACAACCTTTCCGTAAGCAGCTGAGTGCTTAACCATTATACCATCAAGACTCCTCTGATTCCTTCATGGATTATTCTTTAAAAGAATCTACTGCTTAAGGAAGATACTCTTGACTAATTTTGTATTAGAAATTAGATTTTCAACTGAAAGGTCAGTGGTTGGATTCACTGACTACTCCTCTGGAGAAAAAGATTCCTTATCCTTAAAAAAATAATCCTTAAAAAAATTCATGACCTTAGTAACCCAGTAGAGGCTTCCGAGTCAAACTCTGAAGGCAGTAGGTTTGGTTTAGTGTATTGTTTGGTTCAAAGATGACATTAGGGGATATATTTGATATATAAATAGTCTCAAGGCAATACTTTTAGGAGGTCAACATATAAAGGCTTTCTGTTTGATGGGCAAAATGTGTATTTATTTTTTTTTTCCCCCTCTGCCTCAAAAGACACCATTACCTATAGCTACGATTAAGGGCAGAGATGAAAAGTCTGATTCATTCTTATCAATATGAGGTTTATTCTAGACATGATCTCTCACACTATTTATTTTAATGATTTTGGGGAACAGATTTCTTCAAGGCCAAGGGACTTCAATTATTTTTTCAATTTTCTCTATTGGGAATCTTTTATTGATATTTGGATCTTAGAATAATAACTTGAGAGAAGAGATTTTAATATTTAAGTGACAAGCCATCTAAGATTTTGAAAATGACTCCAATCATAACAACCACAAATAAAACTAATTTTCAAGCTGTTGAAAGGCCTGGCCACTGACAACTCTCATAACAGACCTCAAAGTCCATGTTTACCTACTGTCATCAATTAGCACCTAGCATTCACATGCACAGGATATTTGAACAGTTAAAGAAAACATTAGCAAATTATAAATTGTGTTTAACTTTGAAGCAATCTCCAGCTTACAGGAAATTTATAAAGTACCACATACTTCTAGAGAGTTGAAAATTGCCCACCAGATCCATTATCAGCCTGAATACTTCCTATAAGACAAGTCTCTTTCATAAGTATAATTGTTGTTGTTGTTGTTATGTGCCGTTGAGTTGCTTGCGACTCATAGCGACCCTATGT